ACTTAAAGACAAAACAGTTAAAAAAAATCAAAATTAAGAATCACACGTGGAATTTTTAAGTCTAGTTGTGTATATGTGACAGTTGCTAATACTATTTTCTGTGACTTTTGCAAATTGAAAACACTGTAAGTGGCTGGAGAGATGGCACCACAGTGAAGAGCACTATTGTTCCTGCATACAACCTGAGTGTGCTTCCCAGCATCCAAGTTGCATGGCTCACAATCACCTGTAACTCCAGCTCCAGGGGGATCCAATGCCTCTGGCCTCCATGACCATCAGCACTCATATGCAGAGACACACACACATGCATGTACACATAATTAAAATTAATAGATATAGATGTTTAAAAATAAAATATTGAACTAAAAATTCATAATTAAATGCTTAAGATAAGATATTAAAGTTAAAATTAAATATTGTAAAGTAAAAAATAAATCCTTAAAGCATTAAAATTTTAAATGAAAAAAAAATAATTATAATAAGATATTTCAGTCTCTGAGCACTGGATGACTACCTAGAGTGTACCAGGCCCTTGTTTTGATACATTGAGCTGAAAAAGCAAATGAAAATACAAATTGAAATGAGGCACCATTACCAACTTCCCCAAGATTCAGAAAGTGTGGCAGGCAGAGCAGAAAGAACATGAGAGCCAGGCAGGGAGAGGAGAGCTGCAAAGTGCTGTCTTCCCTGGTCTGGAACTCACTGCAGCTGGGATGACCTCCACAGGCCCTGTGGGTGATGTGACTGTCAACACTGCAGCAGGAAGCTCAGGGGCCTGAGCCTGCCTGAGGATTTACACACAGCTAACCCTGGAATGGGGAGGAAAATGGCCCCATGAACACCAGATCAGCCCCTGGGATTTACACAGTGGAATGGAGAACTGACTGCCACATGTTGTCCTCTGACATTTACATGTGTGCCAGGGAACACATGCCCCTCTCTGATAAATAAACGAGTATAACAAAAAAGGAAAAAGGAAACAGTTGCTGGGGAGGGCAAGAAGTCTATGTCAGTGGTGAACCTCACACTCCTGTAAATAACCTCTTGCTCTCTCAAGCTTCTGTAAGTAAGTCCAATTAAATTCATTGGTACAGACAGAGACACATAAAACTAATGAAAAATGAAAGCAAAATGTTTCATATAAAAATGATATTAGGGCCAGGTGTAGTGGCACACACTTTTAATCCCAGCACTTGGAAGGCAGAAGCAGGTGGATGTCTAAGTTCAAAGCAAAGCTGGTCTGCATCTTGAGTTCCTGGACAGCCAGTGCTACTTAAAGAGATCCAGTTTTTAAAAAACACGAGAAAACACTATCAAGTATTGACAAGCAATAATATTTCCAGGAGACATTCACACAGGGCCATTGGACAGACAGCAAAGCCTGCTGCAGGCATTGAATGACATGGTCTTTATGGGCTATGTCAACTCAGCAGACCCTGTGTTCAGGCCTGTGATTCCTAAGGATGGAGGAGAAGAGATGAAGAGGCAGGAAGAGCCAGAGCCTCCTCCCACTTGTTTGTGTCTCCTGGCAATGATGACACCCACTCCAAAGCTCTACCCAAACTCCAGCATCAATGACAGGGAACAGTTCCTGCTGCCGACTCAGCCGCTTTACAGGACCATTGAGGATGTAGATCCAAGGAAGAACACTGGATTTTAAATACATTGGATCTCCAAAGTCTGTTCAGTTACACGGGACACAATGATATACTCTTCTGTCAAAAGTCTTGGCAGGGGGTTGTGGTAGCTCACAACTTCAATTCCAAAACTCAGGAAGCAGAGGCAGGTGGATCTCTGTGAGTTCAAGGTCAGTCTGGTCTACAGAGTGAGTTCCAGGATAACCAGAGCTGTTATACAGAGAAACCATGTCTCAAAAACAAAGCAAAGCAGCAAAACACAAGGCCCAGAGTCTATGGAACACCAAAGCCTGTCAAAAAGCCACAGTGTACAATGTTCTCAAGATAGTTAGACTTGGGAGCCATGGCACTTAATGACACATGGCATCACCCTTACAACAGAGAGGTGCATGACTACAGTCCTGGGCTGGCATTGTCCTTGCACATGTAGAGCACATCCTCCTAAAAAGATCAACTCCATGGAACTTTCCAGAATACTCACCCCCATATTTTCCCATACTTTTTATAGCACTCAATGTCAAATTTCCATGTACCCTGGAAAGAGAAATAGTGTGAAATCCATTTATTGCCCTGTATGTAGCAACCCTTCTGTAGCCAGGAACCAAACCCTCAAATCCCATAAAAAGGAGGTCTACTGTTTCTGACAGAGAAAAGTTCTTTGGTAACATTTAGTGGTACCAGCCAGATGGCTCAGTGGAATAAGGGAGAGTGACAGGGCAGGACAACTGATACCTTCCTTTAATAGAACTAAACCATTATTGGCCATCAAGGGAAGCCATATTGGGAGTTCAATCAACACTCACCTTGTAGTAACTCAGCAGAGTTCCTACGAATGGCAGAGGCTTGGGCCCAGGAATTCCATGTTTCTTAAAGATGTCATGTTTATGGGTCCCGAGTCTATAAAGTGAAACAGAAAGCCTTGTGACCACACACAGAAGAGAGGAGATAAACATGACCGACACCCTAATATGAGGAAAACAAACAGCTTGGCTGTCCCTCCAGTTTCCAGAGAGCTTAGGGAAAGGCTGAGGGGTCCAGTGTGCATGGCAGCCCTCTGTTCATATCTGTTTCTACTGAGTTCTGGTGGATCTCGGGGTAACCTGAAAAGTCAATCAGGTCATAGCCAGAGTAAATCTTATCAGAAAACCTCCTCACCCTCAGCAAAAGGGAGCTGAAAGTACATGTGGGTGTGCCCAGCAGATTTGCACACTGTCAATATGAACTTTAAGAGTTAGCATAACTGGGCTATATAGTTCAGTAGTAGAGTGCTTGACTAGCACATACAGGCTCTGGCTTGACCCCTCCTTATGCCAAAAAATGCAAAATGAACTCAGTTGTCCCTTCATTTTGTGCCTTCAAGATGACTCCACAGGTAAAGGCACTGGCTATCAGTGTTGACAATCTGAGTTTGAACCCCAGGAGCCATGTGATAGGAGAGAACTGAATCCCCAAAGTTGTCTACATATGCACACACACACACACACACACACACACACACACACACACACACACACGTCTCATATACTGCCTGTAGCCCCTATAAATAAAAACATGTAATTAAAATGTTTTTACAAGAGTTAATTTCATCTTCTGCTCACTTTCTAAAGTTTTATTATAGTGCCTGTGGAGGGCGTCAGATCCCATGAAACTGTAGTTACAGATGATTGTGAGCCACATGTGGATGGCAGGATTCAAACCTGAGTCCTCTAGAAGAGCAGTCAGTGCTCTTAAACACTGAGACATCTCTCCAGCCCCTGCTTCTGATACCACTTTTGACCTTGCAGACAGAATATAGGTCTGAGTATTACCCCCATCCCGAGGACATGGTGGGAAAGGATCTTTGGTGGTTACTCACCGGTATAAAAGCACCAGACTGATTGCCAGGAGGACCCAGGTTTCCAGGGAGAGAACTGAAGTCAGGTCCATCCTGGCTTGTCTGTCAGCAGTGCACCCCGCTGTGTCCTCCCTCCAGCTGTGTGTGCTACCCTCTGCAGGGCTTCCCTTCTGCCCAACAGTGCTGAAGTGTGCAAGTGTGTGCAGCCTGCAGTGTTTATACCCTGGGAAGATGATGGGGCCAGAGCGCCAGCCACTTGGACTTTGGTATCCTCTTCACTTTGGCAGATCAGAAAGTTCATGCACACTCTGTTTTGACCTCCTGTGTGTTAACATTCTGTGTGGATTCAATAAACATTGATGTCATTTCAGGACGACCAAAGGTTCTTTGTTTTTGTTTTTTTTATCAGAAATTCAAACAAATTCATTGACATTAAATGTCCTCTAATCAAGGCTGGCTTCATTCAAGAAATATATGAAATGAAGCAAAAATTGTGTCATCTGCATGCAGACCTTTACAGAATGTCCTTATGACTCCTTTATAGACATTTTGTCATTTTTGACAACTCAACTCAGCAAAACAATAACAATCTGTTAGAATCTATCCTCACCTGTGTCCCTAACAAATGAAGTCATATCTCCCAAGGTAAGACTTCCACACATACATCATCTCCTTTCCCCCTAGCTCACCACTGAGGCTCTTCCTGTATACCCTTTACTAGATTATAAGACTGTTCTGGGCAGTAGTCACCACTATGTAATAGAGTCATCATTCAGACCAGTCAAGTTGAGCTGGGAGAGGTGGCAGTTTCTATTATGTCCCAACGGACCAACTGCTCAGCATGGCTCAATGAGGTCATGCTTTACAGAGTCAGGAAACGAGACTCAAGACTGCAAGTATCCCCTGACAACCAAAGACTATATAGAAAACTAATATGAAGTGGGGTGTGTGTGAAAATCCCTCTGATCAGTTGCTTGTAACTGTTAGGGGAGTTGTTTTGGAGTGATGAGATGTTCTAAAAGTCACTGACTGTAACTTCTGTAGAACCATATCTAAAATTATTGAAAATTACACTGTACACCAGGTGGTAGTGGCACATACCTTTAGTCCCAGCACTCAGGAGGCAGAGGCAGGTGGGTCTCAGTGAATTCAAGACCATCCTGGTCTACAGAGAGTTCCATGGCTGTTACACAGAGAAACCCTGTCTTAAAAAACCAAAAGAAAAGAAAATTACACTGTAAATGGGTAAATCATGCAGTGTGTGAAGTGTGCATACTAATAAAGCTGATATATTGGTTAAAGTTTTTATTTTTATTTGGGACCACAGATATTTGGTTGTTTGTTGTTTGAGAAAAAAAAACCACGAGTAGTGATGAGAATCAGATGGTAGAGCGACATCTCAGCAGTCACAAAGCCCTGGCTCCATCCCCAGCACCGCATAATTGGTAGAAGACTTGTATTCACTCATGGGTGGTGACCCCACAGGCTCTAACGGACAGTTCTAAACCCACAGTCACACAGGTGGCACTAGTCAAAGTCTGCAGGACACAAACAAATCATGAATATGGGAAAGAGATTTGCAGGCAAGAAGTGAGGCTGACGAGGGTGGGCGTGAAGGGAGAGAGAGTGGGGGATTAGTCAGGATGCCTCAGATACACATGTAACTTGTCAGATGACAAATGTGTTAATTAAAAGTAAGAACAGTATGTGCTCTGGGGTGGGGATGGAGCTCACCTGAGAGAGTACTTGTCTAGTATGTACAAAGACCTGGCCTGGATCATCAACACCACACAACAGGGCCTGGTGGTGGTTCTAATCCCTGCACTCTAGAGGTAGAGACTAGAAGACCAGAAGTTCAAGACAACATTGTCTACATAGCAAGTTTAAGTTAGCTAGTCTGGGCTACAGTGTGAGACCCTGTATTTAAAAAGTACATGTCACTTCAATAAGGAAGTCAGTAGGTGTTCGGGAGCATTCGGGAGCATTCGGGAGCATTCGGGAGCATTCGGGAGCATTCATTTAATATACAGTATTGCATCTCCATGTTTTCCTTACATATAATTCCATTCTATGGAAGTGAAGAGCACACAGGCTGCTGGAAATATAGCTCAATGGTAGAGCATTTGAGCATCATGCATGATATCTAGATCCAACCCCTTTTAGGAGGAGGAAAAATCCCCAAACCACCAAGTTGAGGCTGCATTGGTAATACTCTGGGTGGGTGAGATGGCTCAGCTGGCAAAGGTGCTTGCTGCCAACACCTGACAAGGTGCGTTTGACCCTGGGACGCACATGGTAGAAGGGGAGAATTAATTCCTGCAGCGAGTCTTCTGACCTCCACATGCATGTGATAGCACAGTCAGACACACCCACAAAGTACATTTAATAAAAATGTTTAAATAGCACCAAGACCATGTATTTTGTTTTTCCTCTGCAGAGAAAGACCAAGTACATGGGTTAGAACATGTACATGTCCTACACATTGACCAGATGATGGCTGTTGGCATAGATTCTAAGTGCTCTGGCCATGTCCTGTGATGTGCAGGGCAGGTAGATGGCCATGAGCGTAAGGCTCCATACTTCCTAGTGAATCTGTTTGTTTCATATATTCAAAGGAAAAGAGAATGGAAGGAAAGTATGAATGACCAGTAGTCAGGCCTAGAAATCAGACCATCTTAGCAAATATGCTTTAGAGGAAGGTCAGAATGAATTTTCACAGGGCATTGGCTTCTAAAAAGAACCTGGAAGACTTTGGGTTTACATGAACAGGTTAAGCTGTTGACGGCTGCAGGGTAACCTACTCTCCTCTAACCTTCCTTGAGTGTAGTCGCTGTGACTCTTTCAGTTGGGAAACTAGAAATGGGTGATCCCACCCACCAACACCTTAGTGTCCTCTTGACTCACATTCCTCTTTCTCCCTCTGAGAGGGGATGCCGGCTGGGTTCTGGGCATGGAGAAGCCTGCATGTGCCAAGTACTAAGTAGAACAGAATCTCAATCTTTCACCTCATCTCTAGTGAGGGAGAGACTCTAAAAAAATTAGCACCATATCAGTCAACATGCTCAGAGGCAGCAGTAATTGCACTGGGGAGTTATTAACAACAATAGTAAAAATAATAGGAGATGAAGGGGGAGGAGATGTATTAGGAATGCCTAAGAGGGAGCAGGGAGGAGTTGGGACGTGTACAATCAAGATGCATGATATACATGTATGGGATTGTAAAAAAAAAAAAAAAAATCAATAAAAGGTACTTTTTTTTTTTTCAAAAAGCTGTTGGGGCTGTAGATGTGGGTCAGCAGTTCAGAACACTTGCTACACTTTCAGAAGTTCTGGACTTGATCCCAGCACCCACACCTAGTAGCCCATAACTGCCTGTAAATCTATCTCCAGGGGGATCCAATGTTGTTCTTTGGCCTCCAAAGGCACCCAGCTACAAGTGGCATATGCACAGATACACGGGGGGGGGGGGCGGATTTTTAATGAAAGCATAGCTTTTGAATTACAAATTGTGATAGGGATTATAAAGTTAAACAACCTTGAACTGAGTATCTCAGTCAGACTTAATATCCATGACCATTACTACAATTTGCTCTCTCTGAAAAAAAAAGTGAAGATATGACATGAGGAATGGAAAGTATGTGGTCTCTGGTATTCCTAGACTTTTCTCTTCATCCATGTAAAAGAGAAATTGAGCAGAATTGACCTAAGAAGTTCAAATGCCTGCTTACCCCAATTATAAGATCTTTTCAATACTATTTGCCTCTCTTAACCTCTCTCCACATCAAGAAGTTCCTGACACCTATTTTTTTTATCATTACTCCGATCTTATTTATCACTTAGGATCTCCCAAGTCCTCTAGCCTCACCAGGATCCAAGAGCTCCTAAGTATAGGATGGAGCACTAACAAATAAGAAGAACGTATAGAAGTCACACAACATTGTGGCCTTGAGTTCTAGAAATTACATTTTTTTTCCTCAACTGGAAGTTTGGGGAAGTGTGGCGGACCACACTATCACAGGTAGAGGCAAACACATGCACCCTATACCAACAAAGCTTACATAAAATAGCCAGATGGTGGTGGCACGAACCTTTAATCCCAGCAATCGGGAGTCAGAGCAAGGCAGATCTCTGTGAGTTTGAGGCCAGCCCGTTCTACAGAGCAAGATCCAGGAAAGGCACCAAAATTACACAGAGAAACCCTATCTTGAAACACAAAAACAAACAAAAAAATCAAAGAAAAAGCTTACATCAGACAATAATAGCTAATGTTTACTGTTCTAAGTACTTTGCCCACATTAGCTGATATCATCCACTCCTCAACCCTTTGAGGATAGCTCTATCACAAGTGAAGAAACCATGCCCAAAATGATAACTGATTCACCCAAGATTGCATAATAAATCCCTGACACAAACAGGAAACAAGAGATCATGTAGCTCTAAAGCTCAAGGTTTCTATCTTTTTATTTGCATTTGTAATTAAAATAAAATTACATCATCCCCTTCCTCTCCTCCCTCCAATACCCCCCATGTCCCCACTCCATCTCAATATCATGGCCTCCTTTTAACTATTATTGTTACATACATATAAATATAAATATATAAAAACAACCTGCTGAGTCTGTTTAGTGTGGCTCATTTGTATATGTTTACAGTGCTGACCATTTGGAACTGGACAAGCAATTAAGGGACTCATCCCTAGTGAAGACTAATTTTCTCTCTCTCAGCAGTCATTAATTGCCTACAGCACTTCATCTGGAGATGGAGTCTTGTGAGATTTCCCTGATCATGTTATCATGTCTATCGATAATGTCGTTGTTGAGATCTTGTTTAAGCAACCACATTGTTGTTTCATGGATGTGACTTCCTGTCATTTCTAGGAGATGCACAGCAGACTTCCTAGTCCTCTGACTCTTACAATATGACTGTCCCCTCTTCCTCAAGGTTCTTTGAGACTTAGATATGGGAGTTGTGTTGTAGATGTCTGGGTCTTCACCTTTCACAGGCTCAGCCTTGCCCAATACCATATAAGATTAGTGGGGGAAATGGCACCTCATCCAAGGCCTTCCAATGAGTGATATCAGACCTCTGCCCTCTAACCAGGGACAAGGTAAGGAGCCCACAGTGAGGGCTGGAGGAAGGTGAAGCAAGAATTCCATGCTGCCATTCTGGCCCTGAAAGTAAGCCCTGCTGTTGATTTTATACCAAA